ACGCGTGCAAAAGCATGAAAAATCTAACGCGTTTACACGAGTTTTCGGAATATAACGAAAGTTCATGAAATTTTCTTCGTGAAATTTCGTTAATTTGTCTTTTAACGCTTTTTTTTGTGTTAATTTCAAGAATCATTTCGTTAAATACCTTTTTATTTTTACATGGGGACTGATTCAACAAATGACATTACATTAGGACAAAACGAAATTACTTAATTTCAAACTACATATACACCCGATAATGCTATTCATTGGTATACACATAGTTCATTTTTCTACCATGTATTAAACAAAGCTTGTCGAATGCTTAATAATGGTATATTAGTGCAATTTCATTCAATTATCAATGACATTGATACTCAATTGAAACAATTGCATTTAAAATAGATAAAAGATGTTACACTTGTACTACCTTTGATTGTTTATCGTGGACAAGCACAATGGGATGCAACTGAGTTAGAAAAACTTCATACGAATATTGGTGGTCTTATATCGATGAATATATTTTTATCGACAACAGTTGATTATGATGTAGCCACTATTTATGCTGCTGGTGATAATAGACATACATTTGTACTATTTAAAATCACAGTAAACAAAATAGATACAATAAATGACAAACAATGTCAAACATTTGCCGATATTAGTCAATATAGTGCAATAACAGATGAAAAAGAAATTCTTTTTAGTATGTCCACTGTTTTCAAAGTGATATCGATCAAAGCCGAGAAGTTATTTTGGGTTATTGATTTGGAATTAACCAGTTACAAAGAAGATAAAAATGTCCAAAAATTGATAAGCGAAGTTAAAAATTATCTATATCAAATTTCTGATGAACAACTACCATTGATTGCATTCAAACAATTGTTTACTATCAATTCACATAATCATGCTTGACCATTCATAGAACTTATAAAAAGATTTTTAGGCTGATTTAACACAATTATTTGTTATTAAAGTTTATAAGAAAGAAGGTCTAATAAAAGAACTTATCAATAAAGATTCTAATTTACAAGTACTTGCTGTACAGACTAACACTAATGCTACTTATTCGATCAATGCATCATCATCATCTATTTGTCTTCTATTCGATTTACTCAATAGTTTTCTCTATCATCCAGACAAGAAAAAACAACAAGAACAAATCATATTTGACAATGAAAATACAATGTCTTTGCTTTGTTTTGGCGCATACTTATTATTGACTGGTGATCATAATAAAAGTATTCAATATTTTCAGATGATCTCAAACAATAATTTAATGAATGAAAAATTAATACTATTGGCAGATATCATATCGAAACTCATTCGTAATATAACAAACGAACAAGAATCAACATTGAAATCATTTGATACTGCATTACAACCATTTCAATCACTTCAAGAAAATATAATGCCACCATGGCTTGCTGCTTCTATTACTTCATTTTCTATGACAACAGTTGATTATGTTCAACAAAAAGATCAACTACTCAAAATATTGACATCATCTATGGTTAAAGAGCACTCTGACAATAGTGCTCTTGAAAAAATTCGTCTGATTAATTTAGGTCATATTTATTCAGAAGAATTAAAATTTATCGATGCACTCAATTGTTGGGAAGAAGCATTAGAATTAAAATCATATATACCAAACAGAAATGGGGAATATTTTCGATGGAATAATTTATTTACAAATGGCTTCATCCTATTTCAGATTGAATAATAATGTCAAAACTGTAGAAAATATAAAACATGCAATGACATGTCTTGAAATATACTATCCACTAATGCATAGAATGTTTGCTGTTTTGAATTTTTGATACGGATATTATTTAATACAAAATGAAAATCCTACAGAAGCGATTGAATGCTTACATAAATCATTAAAAAATCCACATTTTTCAATTGATAAAAACTTTCTTGGTATTGTTTCAATTATGTTAGTATTCGGTTATATTCAATCAGGCAATATCGATCTTGCAGAACAATATTGTTATCAAACACTTAATTATTCATTGCCAGAAAGTATGAGTGAAGTAATTCCTAATCTTTTAGATGTCATACCTTATCTAAGAACTATTGTTACAAGCATTGGTACAGATTTTACTCGTGAATTTATTTGTAAAAGTATATTAATTGGTCAACATATTCTTTCAAATACGTTTCCTAATTTGAATCAACATCCAACATTGATTAATGAGCAAATTTGTTCACATGATCAATTAATTGCCTATGCTGATTATTATCGTCATCAAAGATAATTATCTAGATGCAGAAAAATATTATAGTAAAGCTCTTGAAAAAATGACAGAAACTGAATCACAACATATTTGGAATGTTTATAAAAAAAAATGTTAAGAATGAAAACTAATGATTTTGAACAATATCAAGATTATTTTATTCAAATATATTCAAAATTTAATCATAATAATTCGAAACATTTTGAAATCATTTCTACATTACAAATAATTTTCTATCAAGTATTCTTCTCTCAAAATAATATTCAATTGGAATTCGAGTTTCTTATGCAAAGCGTATTCATGGCAATCAAATCATTTTATTATGAGATCTATATCAATGGTAAATCTATTTCGGATTTATTTGATCATGTTTTTCTACAAGATCATATTGCTAAAGTTATTTCTATACTAACTAAATCAATTCAAATATATTCGAACAAATGGATTATATATATTCAACAATTTTTATCAACTTATTTCCATTGTGAAGATCTTTATATGAATCTTGCTAAAATAATTCATCATACAGATATTGACGATACTTTTGAACGAATGAAATTGAAATATAATAATGATAAAAAAATATTGAAATCAATTTTTTTATTTCTTCATACTGCCATGAGAACTTATTCGTCAAAGTATTGCTTCATCAGAGAAATCAATTCTCTCATTTAGAAATCAACTTCTAGAATTTCTTACAAAATACAATGATGAAACTGGAACTTTGTTCTATTTACTGAAAACATTAAAATCTTTTATTGTTGATAACCTACAAAATTTTCTATTCAATCTCGATCAATTTCAATGCAGAACAATTACTTTTGAAAATTATGAACAATTGAAAGAAAAAATTTCTAAAGTTTTTGATGAATTAGACGAAGATCATTTATATAAATATTTGAATAGTATCAAGGAAAATCAATTATAATAAACATTGAAAATAGAACAGAAAAAAAAACATATATTTATCTTGACAAAGATTGTTTTTCGTATTCATATACATGCATAGATCTACTTTTTTTTATATCATACTTTGACAAATATTGAATATAAAAAAGATTAACAATTAAGATTATTGGAAACTCATAATTCAAAACAAAATACAGTTATAATGATAGTCTCATTTTTGAGATCGCTGACATAACTACACACCCACCTTTTTGTAGAGAAAGGGAACGGTGAGATTGGTCACGCATGAGAAAACAGAACGTGACAGAAAAAACGATTAGCGATTAAACAAGAAGTGAGACATAGCATAGAGTAAATAATACGCAAGAGAAGAAGTGAGCTGTAGCAGTCAACAATCATCTCATTTTCACTCTCATCCAGACGTACTACCTGAAACTGGACAAGAGAAGACAAACATTATTACAGTTTTACATAAAGTTTCTCGTCTTTCTAATTTTTACAACATGAAAAAGATCATTTATTGTTCAGTCCTTTAATCAATTTTTACTTGATGCTTTTTCAAAACGGTTTATCATGATGACTTGAAATAAGATAGCATTCCTGGTGATTGGCAATTGCTTTCGTTTATGAAAGGACAAAGATGAACTTCAATATTTATATATAATAATTCGATAGTCGATCGCTGAATTTAATCTTCGATTTCAGTAGCATTGTGTCAAACGCAAACAATGAGTAGAAAAAAAAAATCATCATTAACAGTTTACAACTAATTGTTAAGCTCTGCTTAGAATTCTCTAGCAAAACAAACAAAATCTAACCACTAGCATGATTCATTGTTTTGGTCTTTTATCAGCTGCTTTCGGATTTCTGTCGATAAACTTAGATGAAACATTGATGCACAAAAAAAAGATTGAAGTTAAGCAACGAAATTTTCCATCGACAATGTTTTTAAAAATTTGATTCTTTAAGCAATCCTTGTCCTTCTAATATCAAACCCATTTGATGCAGGGCAGGCATCACATGTTGCATCTGTCTTTTTAGAAAAATTACTGTATCCCATGTCTTTCATCAATATAGTAATTTTGCCTTTTGAGTGAAATAATGCGTCTCTGATTGTAAGGTTGCAACCGAATCGAACACTAATATTGATTACCACGATGAATAGCTCTTGGTATTTATATTTTTGAATAAGCAGTCTTTCATATAAGTATCATAAACAACAAAATTGAACGTTTCTATTCAGTCACAATACATAGCTCTTGCTGTTCTAGGATAAAACAGCAATACTAAATGTTGACACTGTTTTTTGTTTCTTTTTCCAATGTATCATTTCACATCGTCACGAAAAGGAAAATTAGACATGTGTAAGCGTCTCACAAACATAATTCAGTAAATTTTTCTCATTATTCTATATAATATCCCATAATTAAATAATTTAAGAGTGCATCAAGTCCTGCATGATATTCATTGAAAATTTAGAGACAAAAAATCCATAAGGAACAAGTGTATTCAATCAACGCCAGCTTTCGTCGAATAGTTCCTTCGTGCAACATGTCGCGCGGTTTTCAGTCTGTTTGATCGATAGGTGAATTTCTATCATTTAAAATATTGTCAGGAGTATCTCAAATTTTTAAACACAAATTCATCTGTAGTAGTTGTTGATAACAAACATAAATTATTATGCATACATCACATTAAAGAGCTGATAAATACTTGAGAATTATACCCATAGGGGCTAAAAAATGGAATGAAATAGCTGTTGATTTTAGTTGTGAATTTTGATTTTGGAAAGACAAAAAGTCGATCCAGTGAAAGTTGAAAAGTATTTTTAATATTAATCTAAATGTTTGCAAAGTTTGCTGTATGAAAAAGAATATTAATCTTTTTCTTCAGTTTAAACAAAAGATCAAGATAAAAAAAATTCTGTTTTACCCAAGAGCACGAGATATAAAGAAAAATGTTTCGTCTCTCTTTCTTTTATTGACATTGTGTAATATAATATTCTTGTGTTCTTGTCATAAAAACAACTATGTCAACATAAAAAATACGTCGGTGAAAAGATTGTCGTCGTTGGCTAAAATTCAATCTTACTTTCTTTTTCTTTTCAGCGACAGTAGTTGACAAATTTAAAAAGTTGTGCAGCCAACGAAGTCGGTAGTTAGACATTTTTCAAAAAATTTCATCGTCTCTAATGGTTCAATCAATCTGCTTACATTGTTAATTTTAAGTGAAATTTATTTTCGTAAGTTTATGAACTATTATGTGACGGTTAGAAATGTTGATAGGATAAATAAGTAGTTTAACAATGAAATAAACGAACTTTTTTAGATTTTCTAGTTTTTGATTGATAAATAACTATAGAAATTTAGATTTTTTTATTTAAAATAAACACTCATTGAAGAATCACAAAACTAAAACTCAATTATCTAAGTATTTAATCACTCAAGTGTTCGTTTACAATTGAGTTGGAAAGCAGTTGCTAGAAGAGAGACAGCATAAACTGTTTGTCGAATGAAATTGTCTCAGAATGTCGACATACTTGTCAAAATAATGAAATGATTGAAATCAACTTCAAAAACGCGATTAAAAATGATTCGGAAATATAGACGAGATCTAGCATGAAATATGCGAAATCCATATACAGTCTTTGCAGACGGACTCTGTAAATGTGCGCATTTACGTTCTTAATTAGAGAAAAAAGACTAAAGAATTTTAGTATGATAAGACTTAAAAAACTTTAAAGGATACTGTTGAATAAGATCGTAAATCTGTCATTCCTCTATATTACATTGTCAATAGACTAGAAGGATAGCGAAGGTGTCACAGGCAATAATTGAGAAAAAACACACTTAGAGGGATTACATTGATTTTTTTTTCGTTAAAAATTATTTTCGCTGAGATATATATATAATATTACGTGTTTTGTTATCCTGATTCCGAATATGGTATTCCTCTTGCTCAGAAGTTGAAATTAGATTAAGATTTAATAGAAAAATGGTTCATATCGACTATTGCTATACTTGTTATTCAAAACTATCAAAAATCATAGACTCTTTTAGTCTATTCAGTCATTGAAAACGTTTTGGTGTAATTTAGAAGGATGGCAGATTTATGATCTTATCTAACGATATTCTTTGATTGTTGATTTTATTCATGAAATGAATGTGATATTTTTTTTCAACCTTCTTCTCTAAATTTGATTTTTTTTTGCAAGGTAAAACATTCAACAAGAATCGTTGTTTTTAGTCTTGGATATATATATATATATATATATACTAATTGTACATAGAATTTATTTTAAAATAATTGAATAAGAGCAATCTGAATAGAAGTATTTGTTTTTTGTTTTACAAAATGATATTTTATTGAAAAAACAAAAAGTATGGAAAGAAAAAAAAATGTTTGTATGCTACCGGATCGTTAATGAAAAATACAGGAACAAGTCTTTTTTTGTTATTATGTTTTATTTTTTTTCTTTCTTGAATTAATCAATCTACCATCACATATGCGTTGAAGTATGCTCAGTCTGAATAGTAATTCAAAGTTTTTTTTTCTTACAGTTTTTTATTTTCATTAAAAAAATTCTATACAATAAAGTGAGTTTTTGTCTTGATCAAAATTATACGAATAAATTGATATTTATATAGTTTTCTTAAACTGGAATGGAGGATGATCGAGAAGATAAGAGTAACAGATCATGAGCGTCTGTTTTTTCTATTGCATTAAGTTTTATTTGAGTAAACCTCTCTTACATTTCACGCTATTTGTTTCACATCTTTTATTATCAAGAAAGTCATAATATATAAAAGAATTCAAGTTGTTACACTTTTGAAAGTTAATTTTACATATGCAAATATTTGAAAGAAACTGGACATTTCAAATAGATGCATCAGTAATATCGTCCCGAAACTAAAATTAAAATTACACAAGTGAAACAATTAGACGCTAAGATCTTGCGCAATCATAGTCTCAGAAACCTTATGCGAAGTTTTATTATAAAATGTGTGCCATATCTTGCTGTCTTTTAAGATATTAGTAAATTTGAGTTCTTTTTTGTTTTGCGTCTGGTTTTTTCCTACCTGAGATTGAAACTTAGTCGAGACCGATCAGAGTAGAGCTCTACATCGAACTTCAAAGCCCAACGTTCGACTCCGTTAGAGTCGTGAAAAAAAATACCTTTCAAAATCGACGTCAGAGATCAAAAGACGATTCGAAAAACTTCAATTCAGATTCGATTTGTTTTAGATTGAGTTCAAAAAAAGATATTATGTAATTTTACGTAGTAACCATTTTGTTGATGATGCGTCTCACTGACAATGATAGTTGTCTATTAACCGTACTAAAATCTATGTACTTATACGTGTTAATATTTTGTGCGATATCAAAACATGTCTACGTTTGAATTTTTCCAAATCTTCGCTGTATGATACTGTAGAAAAGTCTTTCATTTTTCAAGAGGAAACTGTCAATCCCCTATTACTGTTAGACAGCATTTGAAAATGAATATCATTGTTCAATAATGAATGTTTTATGGATATATGTTAGGCTAAATTAGATTCAGTTTCGGTCTCTGGTCATAGTGATCGTAAAGAATTCTTTTTGGAGTTATCAAGTCAGTAAAAACATAAAAGATTCATAAATAAGTTTCAAGAAAACTAACATTAGAGAAACATTCTCTATAACAAGTAGTACAAAAAAGACGTATAAATACTAGTCAACAATATTTTCGGCGAAAGGATTAAGTTTTTCTCCTCGACGTATTAATTCTGATAGTTTTAACAAGAATGAAAAGTCACTTTTTCGTACAAGCATTTTTTAATGAAAATAAATAACTCTTAGAAAATTTCTCAATTAATATTTCGAATAAAGCATACTTGAATATATATTATTTAACTAACAAATAAAAAAAAAGCAGATCTTGATTTTCAAGTTGTTATCAACGATTATTTCTAAAATCAGTTTAGATACTTACTACAGGTTAAAAGTTTAAAGACTATTTAGAATTCCGTAAGATTAAAAACTATGAAAAAAAAACATTTTTTTTTATAAATTTTTAAAAATTATTCTTAAATCGAAATTCAATTGATAGTTTTTATTTTAACATCGAAAAATATGATTTAATTAATAAATTTAGATTTTTTTAAATAAAACTTTCGATGGATAATTATGAATATATGAATATATCGGCTATTAGTGATGCTTTGATATGTGAAATTTGTAGAAATCCATTTATTAATCCAGTTATTTTACCTTATCCATGTGAACGAACATATTGTTTAAAATGTATTCAATCTAATCTTGAAAAACATTCGAATAATTGTATGCAATGTAATAAAAAATCTTTATCAAATACAGAATTGAAAAATGAAAGTCCAATTTTAAGAAAAATGCTTGATAATCTTCTTGTGAGATGTCGTTCTTGTGCTCAAATAAATATTCAACGATCAAATTTTTCAAAACATATTCAACAAATGTGTCCAAAACGAATCGTTTCTTGTTCAGCTAATGATATTCAATGTTCATGGAAAGGACATTTTGATCAATTAAATCAACATTTTAATGTTTGTCCATATGAAAAACTTCGAACTCCTCTTACTAAACTTATCAATGATGTTCAACGTCTTGATCAATTAGATCAACTTCAAACGAATTTTCAAAATCTGAAAATTAAATTTCAACAACAACAGAATCAAATTGAACAAATTGAAAATGAAAATAAAATTTTAAATGAACAAATAAATGAAATGAAAAAATTTGAAATTGAACATAAAAATTTAAATGAAAAAAATAATGAACAAATAAATGAAATAAATCAATTAAAAAATAAAAAACAAACAATTCAAGATCAATGTGATCAATATAAAACTACTATAAATGATTTAATAATTGAATTGAAAACTCTTAGTATCTCTTTACAACAAGCAAATATTTCAATTGAAAAATTTGAAAAAGAAAATAAACTTCTTCAAGAAGATTCAAATCAATTGAATTTTAGCCAAATAAATTATAAAACTCTAGATGAACTTTATCAACAACAACAAATACAAATTGATTCTTTTAATAAAGAAAATCAATATTTACAAGAAGAATTATTATATTATAAACAAGAACTTGAACAATTAAATCAACATTTCAAACAGATTCAAACAGAGAATCAACAATTTCATCAAAGATATGTTCTATATAATAGAGAAAATAATACTTTAAATGAACAAAATCAACAATTAAACCAACAATTAATAATTTATAAAAAAAATCTTCAACAATTAAATCAAGATTTCAAACAGATGCAAATAGATAATCAACAACTTAAAGAACAATCTGTTCGATATAAAATAGAAATCGATGAACTTACTATTAAGAATAAACGATTAGAGGCGAAATTATATAAACCAATTATTCAATCACATAGTAAGTCTACAATTACATAGTTAATATTGATTCCCTATTACATTATTCTTACTTAATGTAAAATAAGAGAGTTTTACTTGTTGACTACCCGTTCGTAAAAATTTGGTTTGTATATAGGGTAGAAATTCGGACGCCTCTCTCTACAGACCGTGACAGACATTTTAGTTAAATAACTAATTGGTGTGCTGGAGAAATGTCGAAAGGAAAAATGTCGAAAGGAAAAATATCGAAGGAAAAATATCGAAAGGAAAAATGTCGAAAGGGAAAAATATCGAAAGGGAAAAATG